ATATTTAGTTGTAAACAAAAATGCTTGCAAGAAGCGAAAGATAAGCCTATATTAGTCAGGTATCATCCGATATATTGAACCAGATATTATAGTTTGCATAATTATATGACCATCATTAACTTATGCTTAATTGATGAATGTTTATTGACCAACTGCAATATAACTTAATATTATTATATTACAATCCCAAATTATATAATTTGCATTACAGTTTTTTAATTTTTACATTAGGATTTAAATGATAATGGTTATAATATTTTAAGCACCACAATAGATCAATATATATATATATTAATAATTGAATTTTTATAATAATTCCAAATTAATTATTAAAAAATTGATTATATAAAATAAACTTATTTAGCAAGTTAAATTTGCATTAATTAATACATTAGTATTATACTTGATTAAAAAACCTTATGCTATAAAAATATATCAAATATTTACCAGTTGAACATTCTTGTACAATATATCAAATTGGAAATAAATAAATACCCTGCTCATTTATAAAATATATATTTGAATTTATTCGGGTAGTGACTCAAGAATTTTTGCGATCGCACTGATAGGCGACTGATCCTTAGATTTCTTTTTAGGCGCCGGTATTTTACTGATTATTTTATCGCATTTGTCGTTATCGGCCGTATAGTCGCCACAAAGCATTGCCATCACGTCTGTCAGGTATATACCAAACAAAGTGTCCAAATATTCAATTGATTTTCGCGGACATACTTTCGATTGCTTTTCAAATGATCGGGTTAAACATGCGCTGACTTTTGCTACATAACTGTGTGAATGAATTTAATCATGGTTAAAAATTAATTTTTAATTTTTAAGAATTTAACAGTTACTTAATATTTTAGATAGCTCTCTCTCTCTCTCTCTCTCTCTCTCTAATAAATTAAAATATAGTATTCTATTATAAACTTTTACTATAAACTAATTAATATATTTATTTTTAAATAATGCTAAATAATATAATTAATGTTAAATTAAAAATATTAATTCTCAGTAAATAAGAATTTATTGTAAACTACTAAAAATACTTATCAAACAATAATTAAAATACAAACTGACCAGCATGAAAGTGGTATCTTAAGTTTATGATCCTCAACCTCTGAAATGCCGGTCATGGCGACCACCCAATCGTCCCAACACTTACGATTATCAGGCTGACCAACATTACCGCACTTACCAACTTGCTGAAAGTCCAGACTACGACGTTTGGACTTACATGTGCTAGCACCATTTTTCACGATTGAATATATCATCAAGTTCACTATACGTTTGCTGTTAGGAGTGAGACACTTGTCGCCGTAAGTCTTAATAGTTTTCTGATGTAATATGTTTGCACTGAAAATAAGTAAAAGTAATATATTTTAATAATGCCCTAGATACAATTTTGATGATTTAATATTTACTCGCAATAGCTCTTCATTTCGGCGCCATTTGTGGGAAATTTTTGTTTGTCGGCCGCGAATAGGAAGATCTCTTTTAGCGCATTATTTGTCGCCTTTTCCTCGACATCGCACCGGTATGTCTGTGCCCGACATAACGGTATACTTGATAGACATATCACATTAAATATCACTACAACTGATAAAATCATTATAATATGTAGGAAATCTTATATAACTTTTGTCAATTGCTACACTAGTTGTAAGTAAACTTTTAAACCCCTTTCACCTCTTTATATACCTATTATGACATGTATTTAATAACATGAAAATTTGGTTTAACCTTGGTATTCCAATAATGTTGTTTTGTTTTTTATTTTGGCGTCACTTATAGGGGAATAATAGACAAAACGTTTTACGATTTGTATATATAATTAAAGTGTTTTGTGTAATACAAATACCCAGAGTATCTTCAATGTCAAGGGTAATAGAATTTGAATTTAATTAACAAATCATAATTATTATAAATTGACATGTCTATTGATGATAGGTGGCCATGATCAAGGTCTAGATCTAAGCATAATGAAATTATAATAAAAGTTTTATAATGAAGTACTATTCGGGATTTGTCTATTAGTCCAAACGCCTATGGCACGTTTGTAATTGATAGGACAAGGTTATATTTTACAATAGCAATAATAAAATCATTTATTTAATTCAGAAATATTTGAATACTTATGAAAAGTGAGAAATAATTATGTAAAAATTATTTGACAGTAAATAAATATGTTATTTATTATGTAATATAAAATAAATATGCAAAAATATAAATTTATAATTATTAGAAAAGTAAATAATTCACAATTTCATTTTATTATAGTATTGTTTATTAATTTATTAAAATGTACTGAATTTTAAAATAGGATTAAAGTTAAAAAATTTAAATATACTTTAATAAATATTTTGCAATAAACAAAATAAACAATAAATCTTATCTTGATAAAATGGTGTTAAAACTCTATTATCATAACTATATAAATATGATATTTGGGATTTGACTTCTTCGCCCCGCCCCGCCCCGACGCGCCCCGCTCCGCCCCGGTAAAGAGAGAGAGAGCTAATTATATATTAAATTATTATTAATTACTAAATTATTATTAATTTTATACAA